CCGCCTCTGCCTCGGCCCCGTCACCAGGGCTCCGTCCGGAAGGATGTCCAGAATGACATCCGGAAGGTCGTTCGGCTGTCTGGTCTAATTAGCACATTACGCTTTTATTAACATAGATATTATAGATATATATACATACACACATAAATGTGTATACACGTGAACTATTTTTGGATATATATATCACATATAAATTTTATGTGCGCATATACATATACATATATATATATATCCTTTTGACACAACCATGAAGGCATTTAATTTTCACACTTGTTCTCTCTGAGGGATTTTAGAATTCGATCACTTACCCACAACGTAAGACGCTGGGAAACGCGGAGAGAAACGCAAGAATGGGGAGCTGTGCTGGTCGGGTCCGAGAGCGGAGGCCGGGCCCAGGCAGGGCTGCCCCGCCTGCCCCCTCTCAGGTGCAGGGCCCAAGGCCTCGCCCTGCACGTCTCCCAGCTCCGTCGGGAGCCTCGCGGGCACCTGGCCAGGCCCCGGGAGAGTGACATAAGGGACCGTCTGTTAGGGACGAGCGTGCCCGGGTCACCCGAGGGCTGGTGGCTTCTCTGCAGCTGCCACGGGACAAAGGGCCAATTGAACCACGGACGACTCATCCCTCTTTAAACTGGACACCTGGCCCGGCCGGCGGGGCTCAGTGGTGAGCGTCGACCTATGAACCAGGAGGTCCCGGGTTCGATTCCCGGTCAAGGGCACAGGCCCGGGTTGCGGGCTCCATCCCCAGTGGGGGGCGTGCAGGAGGCAGCCGGTCCGTGATTCTCTCTCATCACTGAGGTTTCTATATCTCTCTCCCTCTCCCTTCCTCTCTGAAATCAATACAAATATATATATTTTATATATATATATTTTTTTTTAATTGATTAAGGTATTACCTATGTGTCCTTATCCCCCCATTGCCTCCCACCCCCCACCCCACACTCATGCCCTCACCCCCCGGTGTCTGTGTCCATTGGTTAGGCAGATAGGCATGCATACGAGTCCTTTGGTTGATCTCTCACCCCTTACCCCAACCCTCCCCTGCCTTCTCATTTATGGAATATAAAGAACAACATAAAATGATGAACAAATACAAATACATTTCATTTTTATTTTTTTATTGATTTCAGAGAGGAAGGGAGACAGAGAGATAGAAACATCAATGATGAGAGTCTTTGATCTGCTGCCTCCTGCATGCCCCCAACTGGGAATCGAGCCCGAAACCTGGGCATGTGCCCTTGACCGGGAATCGCACCCTGACCTCCTGGTTCATAGGCCGGCTCTCAACCACCGACCCACACCAGGTGGGCGAGAGTCTTTACTACGGTATCAAGTGACCATGGGGACCTGAGGGTGGGTGGCAATCCATGAATCCCGCTGTCCTTGCCCCCAACGAATAAATTTTGCACAAAAATAGACAGAGAGAGAGAAGACAGAAGGAAGAGGCAGAGGGTAAGAAGGCTGTGTACACGCGGAGGCAAGAGGCCTCCGGAGAAATGAAGATCCCTTAGACCCGTGGTCAGCAAACTTCGGCTCTCGAGCCACAGGCGGCTCTTTGTCCCCTTGAGTGTGGCTCTTCCTAAGCTTTAGGAGGACCATAATTAAGTGAATAACAATGTACCTACCTATATAGTTTAAGTTTAAAAAATGTGGCTCTCAAAAGAAATTTCTATCGTTGTCCTGTTGATATTTGGCTCTGTTGACTAAAGAGTTTGCCGACCACTGGCCTAACTGATTGATGCATTTCCTTCTCCAAGTCCTCAGAGGAGATTCAAGATGGCATTAAATGGGGGAGGGGGAGGAGGGTCTCTTACAGCAACAGCTCTAGAAAGACCTAAATCGATTGAAAATACGCTCTTTGTAGTACCGAGCTGCACCTGCCTCGTGCCATCTGACAGCCCATTTTACAGGTGAGGAAAACTGAGGCAGGGAGGTTTCACTGCCCCTTGGATGGGTAAGCTTGCCGAAAGGTAGCGTCCCGTGTGCACCAGAAATACAGCCTTTGCGTTTTATATATTTACTTTATTTAAAATCTATTTTTACTGATTTCAGAGAGGAAGGGAGAGGGGGGAGAGAGAGACAGACAGACATCGAGGATGAGAATGAGAATAAGAATCACGGACCAGCTGCCTCCTGCACACCCCACCCCGGGGATGAAGCCTGCAACTTGGGAACCGAACCCTGGCCTCCCGGTCCGTAGGCTGATGGTCAACCCCAGGGCCACGCCTGCCGGCCGCCGGGCCAACCCCCACATTTTAAAATCTCTGGGGCTGCCCTGACCGGTGTGGCTCAGTGGATAGAGCTCCGGCCTGTGGACTCAAGGGTCCTAGGTTCGATTCTGGTCAAGGGCACGTACCTTGGTTGTGGGCACATCCCCAGTAGCGGGTGTGCAGGAGGCAGCTGATCGATGTTTCTCTCCCATCAATGTTTCTAACTGTCTCTCTCCCTTCCTCTCTGTAAAAAATCAATAAAATATATTTAAAAAAATATATATATATATATAAAAAAAAAAAGAAAGAAATTTCCATCGTTGTCCTGTTGATATTTGGCTCTGTTGACTAAAGAGTTTGCCGACCACTGGCCTAACTGATGGATGCATTTCCTTCTCCAAGTCCTCAGGGGAGATTCAAGATGGGATTAAATGGGGGTGGAGGGGAGGAGGGTCTCTTACAGCCACAGCTCTAGGAAGACCCAAATCAATTGAAAATACGCTCTTTGTAGTACCGAGCTGCACCTGCCTCATGCCATCTGACAGCCCATTTTACAGGTGAGCAAAACTGAGGCAGGGAGGTTTCACACCCATTGGATAGGTAAGCTTGCCGAATGGTAGCGTCCCGTGTGCACCAGAAATACAGCCTTTGCGTTTTATTTATTTACTTTATTTTAAATCTATTTTTACTGATTTCAGAGAGGAAGGGAGAGGGGGGGAGAGAGAGAAAGAGAGAGACAGAGAGACAGACAGACAGACATCGAGGATGAGAATGAGAATAAGAATCACGGACCAGCTGCCTCCTGCACACCCCACCCGGGATGAGCCTGCAACTTGGGAACCGAACCCTGGCCTCCCGGTCCGTAGGCTGATGGTCAACCCCAGGGCCACGCCTGCCGGCCGCCGGGCCAACCCCACATTTTAAAATCTCTGGGGCTGCCCTGACCCGGGTGGCTCAGTGGATAGAGCTCCGGCCTGTGGACTCATGGGTCCTGGGTTCGATTCTGGTCAAGGGCACGTACCTTGGTTGTGGGCACATCCCCAGTAGCGGGTGTGCAGGAGGCAGCTGATCGATGTTTCTCTCCCATCAATGTTTCTAACTGTCTCTCTCCCTTCCTCTCTGTAAAAAATCAATAAAATATATTTAAAAAAATATATATATATATAAAAAAAAAAAGAAAGAAATTTCCATCGTTGTCCTGTTGATATTTGGCTCTGTTGACTAAAGAGTTTGCCGACCACTGGCCTAACTGATGGATGCATTTCCTTCTCCAAGTCCTCAGGGGAGATTCAAGATGGGATTAAATGGGGGTGAGGGGAGGAGGGTCTCTTACAGCCACAGCTCTAGGAAGACCCAAATCAATTGAAAATACGCTCTTTGTAGTACCGAGCTGCACCTGCCTCATGCCATCTGACAGCCCATTTTACAGGTGAGCAAACTGAGGCAGGGAGGTTCACACCCATGGATAGGTAAGCTTGCCGAATGGTAGCGTCCCGTGTGCACCAGAAATACAGCCTTTGCGTTTTATTTATTTACTTTATTTTAAATCTATTTTTACTGATTTCAGAGAGGAAGGGAGAGGGGGAAAGAGAGAGAGAGAGAAAGACAGACAGACAGACATCGAGGATGAAAATGAGAATAAGAATCACGGATCAGCTGCCTCCTGCACACCCCACCCCGGGGATGGAGCCTGCAACTTGGGAACCGAACCCTGGCCTCCCGGTCCGTAGGCTGATGGTCAACCCCAGGGCCACGCCTGCCGGCCGCCGGGCCAACCCCCACATTTTAAAATCTCTGGGGCTGCCCTGACCCGTGTGGCTCAGTGGATAGAGCTCCGGCCTGTGGACTCATGGGTCCTGGGTTCGATTCTGGTCAAGGGCACGTACCTTGGTTGTGGGCACATCCCCAGTAGCGGGTGTGCAGGAGGCAGCTGATCGATGTTTCTCTCCCATCAATGTTTCTAACCCTCTCCCTTCCTCTCTGTAAAAAAATCAATAAAATATATTTTTAAAATAATAATAAATAAAATAAAATCGCTGGGGCTTTCTCGTTCCTGCTTCTGGGAAGGTTGCATCCCGACGATCAAACGCGCGTGTGCAACCTCAAGGAGCAGCCACAGAACCAGGGACAAAAAGGCATTTCTGAGCATGGGGTGCACATGCCTTGCAGGTGGCAATGCAGAAGGGCTGTAAAAGGACCAAAACCCGGAGGCATTAAAAAAAAAAAAGTCTTCTTATCACAGGCCTTTCCTATCAGCTCCGGCCTCGGGGCTTTGCCCGAGGACAGTGCACCAGCCCTTGATGCTATAGGCGATGCCAAGAAGCATGAGGTGCCAAAGCTGCAGACCTTAGCGCCTCTGCGCATGCGCCAGCAGGTCCTGGGACTGAGGCCCCGGGCTGCACCTCGACCTGGAGGCTCGCGGGGGCGCCAACGCGAGCACCTCTGCACCCTTCCCCCCCAACGACCCTCTAGCTTTCCCCTCCGTCCGCACTTGGTCCAAATTCCAGCCATGCATTTGCCCCAAGTCGGCGCCATGGGTCCCTAGACTTTGAGCATCATCCCTGCCCCACAGTCCCTAGGCTACAGACCGAGAAAGCCCGGGTGCGCGTGCGCAGGACAGGCCCGCGAGGTCCAGAGCGAGCGCGCGTGTGCGGGGGCGCGTACCCGGACGGGGCCGAGGGCGCGTGCGCGCGCCGCCCCGGGGCCCGCGGGTGGAGGCGGTCCTGGGTGCGCATGCGCAGACTGGCTTTGTGGGGGGGAGGGGAAGGCGACGTGCGCGGCATCGCCCCGGAGCGCGCGTGCGCGGGGCCGCGGGGCGAGCGGGCGGGCGCGCGCGCACCTCCTCCCTCCCCGCCCCCACCCGGCGAAACCCGGCGGCACAAATGGCGGCGCCCATGGCCTCCCCGCGGCCCGTCACCCACCTGCTCTTCGACATGGACGGCCTCCTTCTGGGTGAGTAGTCGCCGGCCGCGTCGCGCGAGGGCGGCTCGGGGTCGCGAATGGGCGGCCATGCCCGGGACCCCCGAGGGGGGCGCGCGGGCCGGCCGGGGCCCCGTCAGACCGGCGGCGCGCATGCGCACGGGGCTTTGGCGCCGGCGCCGCTCGGGGCACCCACTTCCGGTGATCGCGCCGTGCGAGGGGTCGCGGCGCGGAAGGGCGCACCGTCTCGCAGGACCCTCCGCCCGCTGCCCCTGCGCCGCCGGGAGGTGCGCGCGCAGCACGGGCCTCGGTTTCCCCGCCTGCACCCGGGGCTGCACCCACCTGGCCGGTCGGTACTTGCAGAGCAGCCGTCCTCCTCCACCCGACCGTGTGCGGACATCTGACCATGTCCGGAGGCATTTGCAGTGGCCTCGCTGGAGGGAGGGGGGGGTGCTGTCGGCCGGCCAGGGGGTGGAGGCCAGGGCTGCTGCTGCTGCTGCACCTCCCGCCATGCACTGCCCAGCGCCTCCCCCCCCCCAATGCCTGTGGGGCGCGGGTGCCAGGACCCTCACGAGCGTCCCGGCCGCTCAGCAGCCCACACCCGCCAGCTCAGAATCTGCAATTTTTACCCCCAAAGCCTGCAAGTGGGAGAAGCGCACGGGGCGATGCATTTGAGAGACTTGCTGCTCTCTGCACCCTACAGCCCCGGAGACACCCTGACTTCGCCAGCCACGTCGCACTCCAAGTAGAAATCAAAGCAGAAAATGCTCAGTGCATAGCCCCAGGGACACGCTGCCTGAGCGCGACCCCATAGCCCGACCCCATATCCACCCTTCCCAGCCCCCCCAAGAAGGCTTCCTAGGACTTAAAAAAAAAAAAAAAAAAAATGCCCGCTTACTTGATGTCGACCCGCTGGGCGTGCACGTCTGTTTATTCCGTCCTCGCCTAAAATCCTAGAGGAAACAGTTGCAACTCGAGGCTAATGCAAAACAGAAACCGGAGGACACAGTTTGCACGGGGCTAATGCAAAACAGAAACGCTGCAGCCCAGACAGGGAAAAGGACTCGCCCCAGGTCGCCCAGCTGCGAAAGCACTGCAGATCAATCGGATTCTAAATATAACGCGTGGACTCATCTCACATGGGGTGTTGACCTTGACCCCCTCGCCGGTCACTTTGCTAGATGGTTCAGTACTAATGAGACTGGATTATTTATTTACTTTTTTGGAAAAGGCCCACAAATAAAAGTCTCTCTCTTTTTTTTTTTTTTAAATTTATTTTATTGATTTTTTACAGAGAGGAAGGGAGAAACATCAATGAGAGAGAAAACATGAAACACCTGCCTCCTGCACACCCCCTACTGGAGATGTGCCCGCAACCAAGGTACATGGCCTTGACCAGAACCGAACCCGGGCCCCTTCAGTCCCCAGGCCGACGCTGTATCCACTGAGCCAACCCAGCCAGGGCCAAAAGTCTATTTATGGACCCAGAGAGATTAACCAGACAAATTCCTCCGGGAAAAAATAAAACATAAAAAAAAAATCCCCATAGAGGTCGGTAATGGGCGAGAACATGAGCGTATGCAGCTCCTAATTCCGACACGACCCCGTTTCACAAAGCTTTTGGGGTTCCTAACTACAGTTTGTGGACGTACGTGAATTTCCTTGCTCAGGTGGCTAAAGCAGTGACAATATCCAATTCCTGAACCTCCCAAGCAAAGATCCAGGGAACCTGGGGCGGGAGGCTCATGAATTTTAATGCAAACGGAGCTGCCTCGTTAAAATTAAATTTATTAACTTCTCAATGGGCTGGCTGGATGCTTACTGCGGCCTCTGGAATCCTTAGCTGTTCCCTGAAGCGATGAGAGGTGACTTACGTGGCCAGGCTTGCAGATGGCTCTCCGCCCCAGCCGGCCGGGGTCTCCTCTTTGCTGGTTTAAGGCTGTCGCTCCTGGTGCTGGTACCCAATCCCCTGAAAACCGAGAATCCGTGGCCCTTGGGGAAGATAAGACCTAAGCCCTTTCCCCATCCCTTTTTGTCTCCTGTCCTGGCTGTTCTTTGAGGTGGTATTGCCTTGCACAGAGTTTTCAGAAATTCACCTCTGCTTATTCTCTCTCTCTCTCTTTTCAAAATTTCCTCGTTCGTCTAGAACTGCAATTAATTGCACGGGGATGGGCCCTTCTCCCTGCAAGAGAAGGAAGTCTATGGTCTAGACCAGTGATGGCGAACCTATGACACGTGTGTCAGAGGTGACAGGCGAACTCATTTTTTTGCTTGGTTTTTCTTTGTTAAATGGCATTTAAATATATAAAATAAACATCAAAAATAGAAGTCTTTGTTTTACTATGGTTGCAAAGATAAAAAAATTTCTATACGTGACACGGCACCAGAGTTAAGTTTTTTTCAAAATGCTGACACGCCGAGCTCAAAAGGTTCGCCATCACTGCCCTAGAGCAATGGTCGGCAAACGGCGGCTCACGAGCCACATGCGGCTCTTTGGCCCCTTGAGTGTGGCTCTTCCACAAAATACCGACTTCTGCGCGTGAGCCACGAAGTTTCAATCGCACTGTACGTGTGTGCCCGCACGTGGTATTTTGCGGAAGAGCCACACTCAAGGGGCCAAAGAGCCGCGTGTGGCTCTTGAGCAGCCGTTTGCCGACCACGCGTCTAGAGCAGCGCTCCTAGAAATAGCATCTCCTTTGCATGGAATGTTCTACGAGCAACATTGAAGCAAGTACGAAACCCGGCATTTCCACCCGGGCTACTTTATCTCAGTTAAGCTGCCCAGTTATGCCTGCTCTCAATCGTAAGCACCTGGCCTAGCTGCAGTTGTATCTGTTATTGGCCTAACCAGGTATCTATAATAATAAAAGCATAACATACTCTATGTAATCAGACCAGAAAGCTGAACGACCTTCCGGATGTCATTCTGGACGAAGCCACAGTGGCAGGGGCCGAGGCAGAGGTGGTCAGGGGCGATCAGGCAGGCAGGCAAGCAGTTAGGGGCGATCAGGCAGGCAGGCGAGCAGTTAGGGGCGATCAGGCAGGCAGGTGAGCAGTTAGGGGCGATCAGGCAGGCAGAGAGATTAGGGGCGATCAGGCAGGCAGGTGAGCAGTTAGGGGCGATCAGGCAGGCAGAGAGATTAGGGGCGATCAGGCAGGCAGGTGAGCAGTTAGGGGCGATCAGGCAGGCAGAGTGATTAGGGGCAATCAGGCAGGCAGAGTGATTAGGGGCGATCAGGCAGGCAGGCGAGCAGTTAGGGGCGATCAGGCAGGCAGAGAGATTAGGAGCGATAAGGCAGGCAGGTGAGCAGTTAGGGGCAATCAGGCAGGCAGAGTGATTAGGGGCGATCAGGCAAGCAGAGTGATTAGGGGCGATCAGGCAAGCAGAGTGATTAGGGGCTATCAGGCAGGCAGGTGAGTGGTCAGGGGCGATCAGGCAGGCAGGGGATCAATTAGGGGCAATCAGGCAGGCAGAGTGATTAGGGGCAATCAGGCAAGCAGAGTGATTAGGGGCAATCAGGCTGGCAGGTGAGCGGTTAGGGGCGATCAGGCAGGCAGGCGAGCATTAGGGGCAATCAGGCAGGCAGAGTGATTAGGGGTGATCAGGCAGGCAGGTGTGCCATTAGGTGTGATCAGGCAGGCAGGCAGGTGAGCGGTTAGGAGCCAGCAGTTCTGGATTGGGAGAGGGAAGTCCCCCAAGGGGTCCTGGATTGCCCGAGGGTGCAAGCTGGGCTGAGGAGACCCCATCCCCCCCCTCCAGTGCACGAATTTCGTGCACTGGGCCTCTGGTCTATAATAATAATCTATACCGTAATAATAAAAGGGTAATATGCTAATTAGACCGGATATCTTCCAGACGTCATTCCGGATGTCCTTCCTGACGAAGCCAGGGCCCAGGGAAGCCAGCCGGGGTCCCAGGTGCCCTTGGGCCGCGAGGAGGGCAGCAGCCTGGGCCCCCGGTGCTGGAGGGAAGCCGGTGCCGGCAGCCTGGGGAAGGAAGGCCCACTCCTGCACGAGTTTTCATGCATTGGGCCTCTAGTCCGTTTATAATGAGTTCTTTTGCAGGAGGTCTGCTTTTCTTTTAGGAATTGTGAATGCATCTCCCTCCCCCACCACCTCCCCTAGAAGTTCTCCTCGTTACTGTAGCGCCCGTACTTGGTTTTCAAGGAAGTGGAGTTGAATACAGGCTCATTGGGGGGAATTCTTACTGGAGCTGCTTGCTTCATCCCAGGAGAATGAGGAAGTAAATAGAGATTTTATTTCTTTTCTTTTTTTTTTTTTTTTCCTGAAATGTTGACGGGGAAGCCAGGCGGCTTTGAGGCGCACTGTGACACTGTTGTCCCTCTGCACAGAAAGGATTCAGTTTTCGTTGACATAAGGCTCAGGTCACGCAGTCACCCTGGGCGAGGATCCAGGGACATGACCCAGGTAATAGTCTGGGCGTTCCCGTGCCCTTTACCGCGAGAGAGAACGGGACCGAGGTGGCCGTGAACCAGGACTAGATTGTGCAAGAATGACAACGACGACAACTATGTCCCAGTATCTCAGCTCCCGGGTTGAGGAGGGTTAGTGTCTAGTTCATAAACAGCCGGAATTAGGAGCGAACGCATGCCCGCACACAGGGGTGGGCCCTTTTCTTGCAAAAGATGAGGAAGTTGCGGTCTAGAGCAGCACAAACAGAAATAAGCAAACACGCCTTCAATTTTCTCCTCCTGACATTGAAACCAGCCGATGCAACCTGAATGGAATTCTTTCTTTTTTAATTCTATCCTGTTATCCAAATGGTTGCCGTTCAACACATATTCAGAATTTAAAAGAAAAAAAAATGCAGGCGTTTTGCATGCATTGTTGACGCCCGGTCTTTGAAATCTGTGCATTTTACACTCAGCACGTCTGCTCTCGGCTGCAAGGAGCCACATTCCAAATGCTCACATTTTAGGGGATCGGGGTGGGGTGAGGGTGGCTGCCTTATTGGGCAGGGCAGGCCCAGGGCTGTAGGAAGCACCCCATGATGTCTGCTGTTGACAATGGGG